CAGTTTCCTTGCAAGGAATCACAATTGTAATTTTTAACATGGTGTTAAAACAGTTTATACCCAATAAGTGTATCCAGAATAATTGTTGTACATGTATACATGTCAACTGTTATGTCACAGGACATTATGAAATCATGTTTATCATTTCAAGTTTGATTTTAACATGCAGGTCTGTGTCTCTGTAAGCTTTGAGCTAACAGAAAGGTGTATTTTTGCAAAGCCATGGCATCAAAAAAAAGTCATATCCCAATTTAACAAACAATCCTAGGCCTACAGAATTATTTACATGAATATAGAGTAGCCCAAAACCATTATATGCAGAACTCAAGAGGCTGTGTTCCTGCTTACCTCTTCATCCAGATCCTTAAACTCACCATCAGGAAGGAACTGGAAGGTTGTGATGGTGAAGCGGCGGGTCTGAGCATCAGGAGAAAGTGGCTGAGGATGAGATAGAACAGCCTGTGGCGGGGCTGGGTCCAAAGGGTTGGGACATCTGTGGAATAGTGGAGAGCCAATGTGATAACACGTTTTACTTTCCATGTAAAAAAAATCAAATATTTGTGAGAAGAAAGTTTTGATACTCCTACGGACCTCTCCTCCTCCTACAAGCTCAGTTTTTTTCCCCTCCTATGTTCTTTTCACATTTTTAAACCTACCCATTGTACAGCAGCACCCACACAGCTTTTCCAGAGCGGGGGTAGGCCACGCAGAAGTTTACCAGCAGAACTAAAGTGGGATCCGGAGAGTTGAGGAGCCGCACTTCCAGATTGAGAGGCTTCCCCAGCATCATCTTCAAGGGCTGGTGATACTGTGGGTAGTACCTTTTGTACTGGTCATCTGCCGTGTAGGTGTATAGGAATAGCATTTCACTATTTCATAGGCAAGCACAAGATCTCAAGCTGAACTGGATGCAGTTTAAGATATTCATATGCTGCCTAAATATTTAATTTTACCACAATTGTTTGTTATTCAATTATTTTTCCAATCCATCCCAACCAGTGTTGAATGGTTATTTGATATTAAAAAGCATTTTGTCTTGAAATTAGTACAATTTACCTTCAGCAATCCTTAGCTGAACTCCAAATGCCCCATAGGACTGAATTTCAGGACCGAGGGTGGGAGTTTTAACTATGTAGCTCACAGTCAGAACTGTTCCTGGCATGTACCTGCACTCCACCAGCAGCCTGAGAATTAAGACAGGAGATGTGATAAATAATATCTAGACAGTTTAATCATTTATTGTCAATTCTTCATCTTTGTTGCATGTTATTCATCCACCAAACTGTCCATCATGGAGTTATTCACTCCATCCTTCAGTGACATGACAGAAGCTTTCTGTGAACACTGTGGGAATATTAAAGGTAAATATGGGTCTGACCTGACAGGAGAATCTCTTGTGATAGTGCCATAGTTGAGGCTGATTGCCTGAACCATGTTGATGACTTCTACCATATAGACAACAGTTTCCCCCAACATCTGTTAGGATGGGGAAAGGAATTTCTTA